ATCATTTGCAATGGAGTGCAGCCAAGGAGCTTGACCTGATGTGGAGTATGGGACATGAGACAACCAAACAATCACTTCTACAGCCGGTCCCTGAGTTGCGAATGGTCGAGTTACAACCATTTGCATTTACGAACAAAGCTCTCATGGAGCGGTCGTAAAGGCGGTGCCCAAGTTACGAATGTGACCCGTGCTTATGAACAGCGTGGTCGCTGTGTAACTCAATGGGGTCCAAGTTATGAACAGATCAAGTTACGGCCAAGTGTTTGGTCCATAACTCATTCATAACTCGGGGAGAGGCTTTACTAGGCACCATGACCACAATACCAAACCAAATTATTTTGGTTTTCATCTGGAATACTTTGCTTTGTGGCTGAAAACTGCACATTGAAGTTTAGGGTATTCAGTTTTCATGGCAAATAAAAAACATTCAGATACTTTTTGCAAAAAACTTTGTAAATCACGGAAAATCAGTTTTTCTATTGAAATACAGTTTAAATGAAAACCTTTCAACCACCATTAGTAATAATTCCTCCTTTCTTCCAACCTTTGTCTAAAATGCAAGCTCTTTGAGGCAGGGACAGGCTATTTGTATCTACAGCACACACCACAATAGGACCCTGATCTCAGTTGAAGGCCTTTAATTGCTACTGCACAGTACTACTAATGAATATAAGTGCAACGCCACAGTTAGGGTAGCTAGATTATTAGTTCTGTTTTTAACACTGACATCATAGTAATCACAGGAACTAGCTTTCACTGTGCCTGATAGTACAAACTGGCAGTTTTACATCTTGCTACAGATATTTGTAGCTGTAGTTCACTACAGGTGTAAAAATGTGGTGTGTAAGCGGCACCTACAGAAACACAGTGCATTTTGAAAATCTCACTTATTTAATTCAGCTCCCATATTTTCAGCAATTCATAGTTTTGAAAGGAAGTTGTTTAAAGGGAAACCACCCTTTTCCGCAGAGAAGCACTGAATAAAGCAATAATTCATAATGAGTAAATTCAGAAATGTATATATGAAAATTTATTTGGAATCATGATTTTATCTACTATTGATCAGAAAAACAAAATACAAAATAAGAATATACATTCTCTGCTCAGGGAGCGTACAACCTAGTTGGGATGCAAACAAAATAGGTCAGAAATGAACAATACCTGACATACTAACAGCCGAAGGAAGCATAAAGGATCTCACCAGCTGTGCTGTGAGGAAGGATTGGAAGGAGAACAAGGTTTCAGCTGAAAGGGATACCATGGAAGAAAGCACAAAGATGATGGTGGGAGGATGTTACATGGGGCCGAATCCTTTAGCTGCTCAGAGTGAAGCTTTCATGGAAACCAAAATGAGCTCTATACATGGTGCAGCCACAGGGCCAGTATCAGCAGCATACGCACGAAAGCCACAGAGAAGGAGACTGCAATGAAAAACTAACAAGTGACCAAGCCTTGCACAAGAAACATCCAGAGTGATCGAGTGCAAAGCCAGCAAAAATCCTCATTAACAATGATCAGGGGGGAGGGGAAATGGGTTGGTTTGCAAAGCTAAGTATGTCTAGTTTATCGAAGCATTAGTCAAGGGGGATGTGATAACATACGAACGGCCATACTGGGTCACACTATTGGTCTGTCTAGCCCAGTGTCTTGTCTTCTGAGAGAGGCCAGTGTCTGATGCTTCAGAGCAAATGAACAGAACAGGGTAACTGTCAAGTGACTGATCTGATGTCAGTTCCTGATTTCGTCAGTTGGAGGTTTAAGGACACCCACAGCATGGGGTAAAATACAAATATTTAAAAAGTAAACATTAAAGTGGAATGGAAATGATGTAGTGCCACTCCTGGAGGCATGGGTGGGTGGCAGTAGTGTTGTTATGTTACCCAGGGTTTTCTAAACCTAAAGCTATAACTAATTTCTGTTTTCCAGGAGGTGTCAGGATATAAGACAATGGGGATGTAGCATGATCCTCTGATAAATATTTGGTACACACACACACACAAGTGCTTTCACTCAAACATCCTTTTATATTGAGCCTAACGCACACATCAAAATCTAGCAATAGAACACCCCAAAACATTGTTAGGATAGGGATGATCTAGTCTAGTGCTTGGTCCTGCCGTGGGGGCAGGGGACTGGACTCGATGCCCTCTCAAGGTCCCTTCCAGTCCTAGTGTTCTGTGATTCTATAGTTACCCAAAGTCTGAGGGTGGAGTCAAGTGACAGCAGTGGCTCTCAGGTGGCCAGCCTTCTTTCATGTTGTGGAGAGGAGTATCAGTGTTTCCTGTGTCTCAGAAATCCAGGCTTCTCCACAGTACACTGTCTGATTGAACTCTTTTCTAGATAACCTAAAATGAAACTATGACCCATAATAACCCCTAATGTGCTGACTGTTTCCCTAGCTACAGCAAAGAATTCATAAACTTTACTTATCAGAAAAGCAACTTCTCAGTAAGAAACTTACAATCAGAGGCACGCAAACTCGAGATTAGCTATTCGTGTTAGTAATACTGCTGCTGCAGTGGTTTTTTTGTCTGCCTAGGGAAGACCAGGTTCTTTCTCGCTATGTGGTATTCTCATTTCCAGCTTATGGTGGCTGGCTGAGTACATAAGATGGTTGTAAAATATATCAAGTCCAAGTCATGTCAAGTCCAAGTTCTCTCATAACATTTACTGTGGCATACAAATCGAATATAAGTCAACAACGTGATAAATTTTTTAAAAAGGCTAATAGCTTTTTGGGGAGTATTAACAGAACTATCTACGTAAGACACAGGAAGTAATTTTTCCTCTCTATTTGGCACCAGTGAGGCTAAGTAGAGAAGAATACACTGCCCAATTGTGGGTGCCACACCTTAGGAAAAATGTGGACACACTAGAGAAATTCCAGAGGAGAGCAATAAAAATGATAAAATGTTTAGAACAGCTGCGCTAGGAGAAAAGATACAATCATTGGACATGATTAGTTCTGAGAAAACAAGACTGAGAGGGGACCTGGTAGTCTTCTAATTTTTTAAGGTCTGTTATAAAGAGAATAGTGATCAATAATTGAGATGTAAGGGGCTTAATCTGCAACAAGGGATATTTAGGTTAGTTTTTAGTAAAATATTCTCACTATAAAAGTAGCTAAGTAGTGGAATAGTCTTCAAGGAGATGCTGTGGAATCCCCATCACTGGATATTTTAAGAAAAGGTTGGATAAATAGCTGTCAGGGATAGTCTAGAGTTACTTGGTCCTGCCTCAGCACAAGGGGCTGGACTCAACTTCTCTAGATCCTTTCCAGCCTTACATTGCTATGATTCTATGAATATGTGTAAATTATTTAAATTACAAAAGGGGAAGTTTAGGAGAAATAGCAGGAAAAACTTCACTGACAGTAAAAAGATACATCTAAACAACAACATTATTTCAAAATAACTTAGTCCGTGTCTACACAGCAGGCAATTATTTTGAAATAATGTCAGAATACTGTCAAGCTGGAGGACTTCTTACTCCGAATCCTGTAATCCTTGAGTAAGGAACCTGGGCTCTAAAAGGCTCAGTGTCATGCGCTTTTTATTGCAGTATAAACATACCCTGTGAGACTAGAAGGAGTGATTTTCAGCACCCTAAGTTCTATACCAAGAATACCTTGCATAAATGAGAGGAGCTCCTCTCCCGTTACACTCTGAGGGTCATAAGCTCCAGCTTTGCTGAAGGTTGCTCTGCCCTCCATTTCATTTTCAAGTGTATGTTTTGATCTCTCTAAAGCATTTAGTAGTTTGTCTCTCACATGTCTTAGTCACTGTCACTGCCTTAAATTATATACAAGGTGGCTGAGAACATCTGGGCTGTGTCTAGATTGGCAAGTTTTTCCACAAAAGCAGCTGCTTTTGTGGAAAAACTTGCCAATCTAGACACAGCCCAGATGTTCTCAGCCACCTTGTATATAATTTAAGGCAGTGACAGTGACTAAGACATGTGAGAGACAAACTACTAAATGCTTTAGAGAGATCAAAACATACACTTGAAAATGAAATGGAGGGCAGAGCAACCTTCAGCAAA